AAACCATATTCTACAAAAATGTGTGATATCCGAACAAAATACCTTTTCAAAAAAAGGTAAAAAAAGGCGCCAAGTACATGCGCAACTCGTATCTCTAGAAAAAGTATTACTATCAAAATCTTCCTCTACAAGATCTATTCTACAAAAGAAATTATTTGTTTACATTAAATATTTTTTATTTTGAAACATTCCACATGAGTTTTTGACATTTCACACAAATCGAAATTTATATGTATGATTCAATATAGTTTAAGATTTTCCACGCAAGGCGAAGTTGTTTCTTACATCAATGAGTGCTTTATATAAAAAGTGCAGTGTCATACACTATTTGAAACTTTTTATTGATTTAGAATATTTTCTATTTTACAACGTATAAACAACTTACAAAGTTTTATATATTTTATATATTTTTGTAACCATGTATAAAAGATTTTACTTGGCGTAACTTATTGATATCATTTCTTTTGTAGAATAGATCTTGTAGAGGAAGATTTTGATAGTAATATATTTTCTAGAGATACGAGTTGCGCATGTACTTGGCGTCTTTTTAAAATAATTTCAAAAAAAATCATTATGTAATGGCAGTTCATAATAAATTTTACACCAACACACGGTAGTAAAAACGCCTCTGAGAAGAAAACCAAATCAATTGTACGTCACATGAAACGCCTCTGGCATTATAAATTTTTAAATATGGCCAGCACACGTTAACCAAAACTGCTGCATAATAATTAATATTCCAGCACACGTTTACAAGAACGCCTCTGGGAGAAAAAGGCAAAGCAACTGTACAGTCAAAATGACGCGTCTGCCATTGTTTTATATTAATATTATATAAAAAATAGCTAGCATGCGTCGGCAGGTCATAATAATGTTTACACCAGCATACGTTTTTGAAAACGCCTCTGGGAGGAAAGATAATGCAACTTTACAGTCAAACTGAAGCGTCTGATATTGTTTTATATTAATATTATTTAAAAACTAGCCAGCATGCGTTGGCAGTTCATAATAATTTTTACACTAGCACACGTTTTCATAAACGCCTCTGGGAGAAAAGACAAAGCAACTTTACAGTTGAAACAATGCATCTGACATTGTTTTATATTAATATTATGTAGAAAAGTGCCAGCATGCATTGACAGTTCATAATAATTTTTACACCAGCATATGTTTTCAAAAACGCCTCTAGGAGAAAAGACAAAGCAAATTTACAGTCCAAAAAATACATTAGACGTTATTTTATATTAATATTATTTAGGAAATAGTCAGCATGCGTTGGCAGTGTTTTCTATACTTACGTTAGTACAGATGATAGTCTAAACGGACAATCAAATAACACAAAATAATCACAATATACCGCAATTGAATAAAACACAATATATTAATTGAATACAACACAATATAAATGTAATACATTGCAATGTAATATTACGTAATTTATTACACTACAATGTAATATTACAGAACAAATGCAACAGAAATGTTTACTTTGTGATTTCTTCACTAAAACTTATAGAAGTTTTACTTGTTTTGTGGTGTATTGAAAACTTTGGCAAAAAAACACGTGCTCCGCAAAACGAGTTATTTTAAAGTCGTTCTATAATAGCGCAAAACGCAATTGCAGTCACAGATCTCGCGGAAGTAACCAATCGTGTTGCAATTGAGTGATTTGATAGAAGCAGTTGGTCAATTTCATGAGACTTGCATTTGCTCTCTGTGACTATTATAAAACAATCTTTATGTTTACAGATTCGTAGGTTAGAAGATCTGTCATGTAGCACGACAGATATACACATACACAACGCATCAAAAATTCGCGAAGTAGGCGCGGAGATCTAGGGGCAAAAAGGGCTGTTTTTCTTAGGGATAAATAATGCGACACAGTTGTGGATAAACGATTGCTACTAGTTAGCTGGTACAGTGCTCGTTGGTGCTATTTATATCTAAGAAAAACCGCTTCTTTTGCTTCTAGACCCTCGCGTCTACTCCGCGAATTTTTGACGCGCTGTGTACATAATGATCATATGCGCACGCGTCATAGTGCAGCACTTTCTATCAGTATTTTCGTGAACTACATAGTACTGTTTTTTACAGAAACAGTGATAGTATATGATAGCAAATACACATCTTCACAAGATTACTTTTTTTGTGCATCAATTAGATAACTAAATCATATTCTGAGTGTTTCATTAGATTGTTTTGTGTCGTACTTATTGCTGTAGTTCAATGTAAATATGTACATAAGCTTAGAAAAAATTTTATATACATGATCATATGAGGTTATAGAATAAAACTGTATAAGAAAAAATTTCTGTTAAAATTTGACATTTCAATAAACAACAGCAAACTCTTAGCACAATTTACTTTTTGCTGTAGAAGCATTTTGGATTTGATGCAGTAAATACGGCTCAAAACGAAATATTAGAACCGTCGGTTTACAGGTCTCTATAGTCGGTATTCAGTATCCTTTTAAATGTGACGATATAACAATACCGATATTTGATGGATTAGATTACAGTAATTGGAAAAAACGTATATTAAGAATAAACGTATACAAAGTTTTTACAATTTAAAATCCATATCCATCTGTGTCCTCATTAGGATATGGTTTGGCGACCATATCTGTCAAACATGTGAGATGTCAAAATGAGACCAAAATCATAACAAGTCTGCCACTAGCAAAGCAAAGCCAAAGTGACGCACCAAATCCAGAACAGATTTGGTGAT